CCCGTACGGGCAGGAACTCCTGTTTCTTCACTCGAGGTGACCCCTACAATTTCTTTGTATGTATGGATCACTTGGGTTGTTATCAACATCTGGTGAAAATTTCATGTCATTAGCACCTCTAGTAATATATTTACTGAGAAAAATGGTGACGTGTTCAGTACTTATTTTACCCGCTGTATTCAGCTCAGATTTGGTGTTATATTAGCTGAGAGTCTGATATTTTATTCAACTTTGAGACAATCCCGATTGTTTTTACTACAACAGATACGAACAGCCGAAATGTGACGGTAACGCCAGAGCCTATCCAGCCAAACCTAAGGACCATTATCGAAGCAGACATCTCCAAGGTATGCATCCATTTTCCCCYCCCTCAGATGTTTTTGGCCTTCAACTCCTACCATGCTTCCAAGGTAGTGATAACACCGCTTGTGTGTACGTGTGTGTGTGTGTCAGAGTGTGTGTCATTAGCACTAATGGTCAAGGAAATGCTCGATAGAGACTTGAGGCTTGCCAGATACTGCCCTTCACCGGTCAATGAGCACAGAGGCAGGGACGGAGCGGGGGAGGATTAATCTTTGGCTGATATTTGAGATGGAGGATGGTGGAATGAAAGTGYAGAGGAGAAGCAGCAGGGAGGTGAGGTGGAGATAATGAATAATAGGATGCCAGAGACAGGTAATGATAGTGGTGTAGATAACTACGCTTGGGGCTGAAGAGCCGTCGTGGGGGGCGGGGGGCTTCAGTTAAACATCAGACAGCATTTAAAAGATAGATTTAAAAACCTTAAACTGCATATTTGAGTTATTTCTGCTAAATAATGGGAATGGGAGTCATATGCTATATTTAATGCTAACTAATCAGTTGTTAAAGTGATAGTCTGGTCAGTTTTATTGATTTTCAGGTTTATAAACATAGTGCTGTGAAAGAAGAACATGTTAACTAGAGAAATTGCTTTTCCTGTAAAAAAAAATGCAGCATAAATGAAAAAAAAGCTGAAATCAGCTGTAAAGTTGCTGAAACTAGCATAAAAGTAGCTTTCAAGTAGCTGAATTAAACAGAAAGATGCTGAAATGGATTTAAAAAACTGTGAAATTAGCTAAAAGAAGTGAAATTAGTAGAAAGAAACTTAAGAAAGTATAACCAGAAGACACGGTGAGCAATAAAAGATACGTTTTAGACAATTTATGAACGTTTTGAAGATATATAATTTGAAGACGGGATTTAAAAAATCAACTGGATGCCTCTTTTAGGTGTGTACATATTGTAATGCTAACAAACTGAACTTTTATGAATAATTTAGACATAAATATTTCACAAATTGTCTATAATGTTATATGCAGTAGTGTGACGGCCTTAGCACTATCTCCATTCATTTTCACTGAGAAAAAAGGGGTTTGAAAAGCTACATATTTCAATAAGTAAAAATTGCACAAACATAAAAAGTGATAGCATGAATGTTCTGAACGAGACGAACGTTTCGATGTATGATTTGCTGAGATAACACAAAAATTGCAGGAGAGGTTACGTGCTGGAAAATGGACGGAAGAAAAACGGATAATGATAATCGTCTGACAGAGCATCACTTCAAAAATGATCCTTTCAGGCTGTTTCATGATAACAAACAGCTCCATCCTTTGTCCAATATGTCCTCTGTCCCTCCTCCATCAACCTAACCTGTCTCTTCTAAACCTGTCCAACTACAATCCGATCTCTTATACCTGCAGCTGCTGCTCCTATTTTCTAGTCTCCTGTTTCCCTGTTAGTCGTGCAGCTGTCCTTCTGTCACAAATCACCCCTGACACTCATGTCCATCCACTCCCCCTGCCCGACCTTTCGGTTCACCTCTCCTCTCTTCAGCTGACCCCAGGTACTTGAACTCATCCACCTTGAATATTTCTCACTCGTGGATTCTGTCTTGCTTCTACTTTCCTCTCCAGGCTCTCTTTTGTCTGACCATAAACACAAAAGTTGCTCCTGTTTTCGTCCCGATCAGTGACTGTTTTTAYGTTGGATCTCTGCAGGTGTTTTTCTTTAGAATAGTTGTTTCTGCTCGAGCGTCTGGTACTTTCTTTTCATCGTTAAAGCCACACAAGCAGACGGATGAATCTTTTATCTGTGCTTTATTTTCCTACTTGAGCTTCATGCTGCACTGTAATCCCAAACCGTTGTACTAGCTCATAACTAATAAGGTCACAACAGTCAAATGTCATTATGGAGTTGACCAAACTATAAAGTTTTGAGCTCTGCTGAGATTTATTCCACTTTAACTGAATGGGGCTCAATATTTTATAGCTAATTTGTGTGCATTCTGCTGTGTTTGGCTGTTTGTCATGTGACTGCAGTGGAGGATTGTGGGTAGGATTCATGTTTGTTGTTGTTGAATMATTTTAGGGTCATTTTGGTTAACATTGTTCTTTCAGCAATTAGTCTGTTGTGTTACTCTAATTTGTGTGTTCATTATTTGTTAACTTGTGTTAAAGCGTTCATCAGAAGTAATCATAAGTGAGAGTGGTAGGCCTAGGCTACGTTCACACTGCAGGTCTTAATGCTCAGTTCYGATTTTTTTGAAAAAATCCGATCTTTTTGTGTGAACGTTCACATTACATTTTAAATGTGACCTGTATCAGACCTGTATGTGAACGCTCCACAGCACTGATGTGACGTATGCGCAGTAAAAGACTTGACGTCTCATCAGCCGGCTTGTTTGTTTACAGAGCTAGCATGGATGCTACATTTTGCGCATCGAATCGGAAGTTGTTGTTTAATCAGAGCCGATTAAATAATTATCTGACCTGCTTCTTTAGTTCAGTGCTTATATCTGAACCTGCCTCTGACCGGGATGCTCCAGTGAAGCTTTTTTTTTTTTTTTTGAACGAAACTATGAGATGGAAAAAAGTATCGACCGAGTAGCTAACTTTAGGATCGATACTCTCCGCGACCCAGGCTGGACATGTTATTATCAAACTATCTACGTGGAAAATGAAAAGTAAAAAAGATGAAGCAACTGGACTTGTGTTTTGGAGCTGTAAACACACGGAGCTACAGATTTAAACAGCGAGACTTGAGGTTAGTGTCTTATCGATCCTTCACCCCCTCCTCCTGATGAAAAAGTCAGATGAATGTGACATGAGCGTTCACACTGCAGTCACTTTGAAAACATCAGATATATATCTGATTTAAAACCACACACTGAAACGGCCTGGGTCGGATTTGAAAAAAATCAGATTTGTCTCGTTCAGACTGTCATAAAAAATCGAATATGAGTCAGATGGGTCAAAAAAAATCGAATTTGGGTCGGATTTGCCTGCAGTGTGAACGTAGCCCTAGTCATTAATAAGACCTGTGAGTTTCACKTTGTCTGTGTTGTTCATGAAGAAGAATCCAATAAAGGTTCTTCAAAACTGCCACCTGGTGGTGAAGTCTTGAACTACAACAAGAGCTACACCTCTCTCTGTAGCTGTGAGGTGTCATGACACAATATTGTGCTTGACGCATGTGCACTGTTATGAGTTGAAAATATAAAAAAAATTTGAGTGAAGTACTCCCTTATCATAAGTTAAGAAAAATCAATATTTATAAGATAACATTGAGATAATTTAAGGCAACTGCACGTGTAATTTTTATTTTATGTAAACTGAAAACATTTACAAACATCACTAAAATATTTTTGTGTAATTTGTTACAAAGTTAATTTTGAGTTCTGTGAACGTATTAGGGTTTACAGTGTGAAAAGAAGCTTTTGCCAGAACAAGCCACAACTTTTTTTTTCTCTGTAAAGAAACTGCGTCAGTGACTGTAAACACCGCCGGAGCACAAAAAATCAGGATAATTACAAAGGTTGCCTTCACGCCACTGCTGAAGAACCGGCGATGAGAAGTTTATGGGCCGAGAGGCGAGGAAGGAGCGACTCGCCTCGGAAAGGCTGAGTGATGGGTTTGTTCGTCAGAGTTGGATCTCTGGGTCGGGCCTTGAACGAGCTGCGGCTGTGAGTGCTGACAGGGTTCTGCTCCATCTGGATTCAAAGAAAAACACTACTTCTTATTAGCAGCAGCACAGACGTACACATGTAAATACACTCCCGCTGGCAGACGTTTCACAAACACATTTAAGGCTTTTCTCAACTTGATTTACTTCTGGATTATTATGAAACAAGACATCAACCTTTTCCTTCTGCAGATTAGAAACGAACAGAAAATGGGCTCCAGGCACATTTTGGGTTCTGCCTCTTGGGCAAAAAACAACCCGACAGACAGAGGCTGATTTGTTTCTCTCCCACAAGAAAAACCTTTGCTGCCAAAAGGGAAAGGACTAAACTACTACCTGATGGCTTCCCGTTCGAATGAGCTGCAGACACGCTCAGATTCCTGCAGCATTACAGAGGGAACGGGCCACAAAACAGAAAACGCTGAGCCTCAGACAACTGCATCCCACAAAGTCAGGGACCAGATAAAAACACTTTTCCTGCAAAGGGCACAGAGTCTAGACTCGTTCACCACAGAAGGACCTGGAAAGCACCTTGTTTGCTCATTTGGGTGAAACATTTTACTGGGATAAAGTCATGGAAGCTAGGGGCGGAGCCAGAGGGGTGGCCGGGGTGGCAAGTGCCAGCCCAGGTGCCACCCCTAAATAAATGACAAGTAGGTAGGGATCTAGGATAATGCATTTACATTTAGAACTTGATAAATAACGTTTTCTGATACTGCACTACAGAATTTTTAGCTGTGTGTGTTTAAAAAATGGCTGAATTATAGTCCTCTGTGAAATTAGTGGTTAGCTTAATTTGGAAGTAGCATGGGCATTCAGGCAGTGCTCATTTTTAGCTACTGCACAACAAATTTTATCTGAATAAGTCTTAAAATGACTGAAATATAAGCCTTTGTACAATTAGCATTAGCAATGGTGGTTAGCTTAAGTGAAGGTTAGCATGGACATTMAGGATGTGATCATCCTTACCTAGTCCACAACAGATTTCATCTCAGTAAGTCTTAAAATGGCTGATCTATGGCCTTTTAAAGTTAGCTGCAGTGGCCATGTTGAATTTTGATTTGATAGATTGTTTTCGGCTATGTCTACACTAATCTTCAGCTTTGTTTGTCTAAATATGGCTGAATAATAAATTGCGACTAGCATTCAGCGTGTTTTTTGGATCACTCTTTGGCTGTGTCCAAAACGGCAGGACGGGTCCTCCCAAGGTCGAATTTGTTGGCCGCATACGTCACAGCGCCGCGACGAAGGANATCATTTGTATGGACATGTATTTACATATTATTTTTTCGTCATAAAAAACGCGAAATAAACATGAACCTACAGCGGGTCAATTAGTTCTTCAAATGATACTTTTAAGTTAATTTT